TGCCCAGGCGGGTCTCGAACCCACGGGCTCAGCAATCCACTCACCTCAGCCTCCCAAAGTGCGGGATTACAGGCTAAGCCACTGAGCCCGGCTTGAGTCGCAATTTCTTTATCCAGTGCCCACCCCCAGCAGCGCTGTAAGGACTTCCGAGTTCACCAGCATGAGTGCTCAGGGCCACTGGAGCAGGGCTGGGTAATCACAGCTCTCCTGCTCCCTGGTCCGCTCCGTCTTTGGGACCAGTCCACGCCCTGATGGCTCCTATTCTCTTTCCTTCCCACAGCTGAGCTGGACTGAGCCTCGGAGACTTCAGCTCTCCCAGGAGAACCCGGATCCAGGTGAGGGAGGTCACGCGGGGTGTGGCCCAGCAGGCAGGTGGGGCTGGGAGCTGAGGGAGCCGCTCCTTCCTCAGTCTTCTTGGACGAGGAAGATTAATCATTGGCGAGGTGAGCTGGACTGGGCTGCCCTTTGTGCCCAGGTGTGCAGGTGAGGGGAGGGGCGGCCAGGACTTTTGGGTCCCATCTCTGTGTCCAGGCACCCGGGTTGGCACCTGCCCTCCCATGAAGGGTACCCCCGCCCCCTCTCTGGCTGGGCTGTCTTGTTCAGAAGAGGGAGGCTCTGTGCCAGGCGGCGGGGAGGGGGCAAGGGGTGTCTGTGTGCCCCAAACCAACTGAGCCTGAGCCCTGTTCTGTCCCCAGCCCCACCAAGAGCTGAGAGATGGCCTCAAAACCCGAGAAGAGGGTAGCTTCATCTGTCTTTATCACCCTGGCACCCCCACGCCGCGATGTAGCAGTGGCCAAGGAGGTGAGGCAGGCCGCCTGTGAGGCCCGGCAAGGCCGCCCCTGGGAGGCTCCTGCCCCTGTGAAGACACCCGGAGCTGGCTTGGCCAGGAGGCCCAGCCCCTGGACGCCCCCTGGCAGGGCTGCGGCCACAGTGCCAGCTGTCCTGCCCCAGCTCTCCAATGGAGGTAAGGGGGGCTGCTGCAAGGGCGGCCAGGTCAGGGGCAGCATCCAGGTGGGGAGGAAGGACAGACTCCAAAGTCATTCATTTATTCCTTCATTCATCCACCATGCGCCGACTGAGAGTCAGCCTGCTGTGGTGTGAACCCTGACTCCTCTGTTTCTCAGCTATACGATGTCGGCAGGCCTCTCTGTGCCTCAGTTTCCTGATCTGTAAATAAGAATAAAGACAGTACTTGTCATGAGTTAATACATATGTAAAGTGTTTGGCCTTGAGCCATGCAGAAAGTCGCTTCCGTCTCAGAGGGAGAAACAGATTATAAAAATGTAATGTATAGCCGGGTTTGGTAGCTCAGCCTATAATCCCGCGCTTTTGGGAGGCTGAGGTGAGTGGATTGCCTGAGCCCGTGGGTTCAAGACTCGCCTGGGCAACTTGGCGGGACCTCATCTCTACAATAAATCAAAAAAATTAGCCGGGCGTGGTAGCGCACGCCTGTAGTTCCAGCTACTTGGAAGGCTGAGGCGGAAGGATCACCGGAGCCCAGCAGGTCGAGGCTGCGGTGGCCAGGAGCAGCCACTGCACTCCAGTCTGGGTGACAGAGTGAGACTCCAACTCAAAAAAAAAAAAAAAAAAAGTATAATGTCAGGTAGACACAAGTGCTAAAACGGACTGAAATACAGCCAAAAGGTGAGGAGGTGCAGCCTTTTATGGGGTGGTCGGGATGGCTTCTCTGAGGAGGTGACATTTCAGCTGAGACCTGAAAAGACAGGATGGAGCTGACCAGGAGGAGGGAAAGCACAGGGCACTGGAAACAGCGGGTGCAAAGGCCCCAAGACAGGAAGAAGTTCAACAGGTTGGAAGATCTGGCTTTGTCCTTTGTTGAGCTCTGCTGTTCACTTGCTGTGTGACCTCGGGCGAGCCCTTTCCTCACTATGGACCTCAGTTTCTTCTGGAAAATGGAAGCTTAGACGTGTATGTGACCTGTCCATCACCACATGAATACTTCATAAAGGACCGTTCCTTTACCTTGGGCTTGGGGTGATGGGCCCTGTTGCCATGGTGACAGGACGGCTTCAGTCCTCTTTCCCTGTCTCTCCTGGGAAAGTCTCAGCTGTTGGGTGGGGTCTGCGTGAGGAAGGGTGACAGCCTGGGCCCAGGGGCAGGGAGTGGCTCATTGTCTGACAGGGCACCTGCTGAGGCAAGGAGATGCTAAGATGCCACGGGGGAGAGGCCAGCCCAGGGTGGCAGCTGAGCCCCTGGTGTCACACAGGTGCCCAGTCAGGTGCCCTGCTGTCCCAGAGCAAGGCTAGGGGATCCCGGTCCATCACCACCGTGGAACCCACCTAGCGGCCAATAGGAAGTGCCAGTTACAGGCAGCCAGAGAGAGGTCACGACAAAGGGCCACACGCACGAGAGTGTGTATGTGGATATTCACGTAATGTGCTGCTTCCTGGTGATGGAAGCTTCTAGATTGATCTTCCTCCCTAGTCCCATGTCCCAAGAATACAGACTCCTCCTAGCTGCCTCTCCGTATGGGAGAACCAGGACTAGATTGTCAAAATTCACACATCAGGACACAAGATCCAATGGAGAAAAAAATCATGGCCCTTCTGGGTGAGATAGGAGCCTGGAAACATTGTTTAGATGCCAAAATTTCTAGGACAATTTCCAGGCTCAGTGGCTCATACCTGTAATGTCAGCACTTTAGAAGATCAAGGTGTGGGGATCGCTTGAGCCAGAAGTTCAAGACCAGTCTAGGAAATATAGCGAGACCTTGTCTCTACAAAAATCAGCTGGGTCTGGTGATGCTCACCTGTAGTCTCAGCTACTGGGGAAGCTGAGGCAGGAGGATAGCCTGAGACCAAGAGGTGGAGGCTGCAGTGAGCTATGATTGTGCCACTACATTCCAGCCTGGGTGACAGAGTAAGACTCTGACTCAAAAAAAAAAAAAGGCTATACTCAGTGGCTCAACCTGTAATCCCAGCACTTTGGGAGGCTGTGACGAGTAGTTTGCCTGAGCCCGTGAGTTTGAGACCAGCCCAGGCAACTTGGCGAGACCCCCTCTCTATAATAAATCAAAAATTAACTGGGCGTGGTAGCATGCTCCTGTAGTTCTGATTACTTGGAAGGCTGAGACGGAAGGATCGCCGGAGCCCAGCAGGTCAACACTGGGGTGGCCATGAGTGTGCCACTACACTCCAGCCTGGGCGACAGAATGAGATTCCCAACTCAAAAAAAAAAAGGCGCCAGGCGCTGCGGCTCAAGCCTGTAATCCCAGCACTTTGAAAGGCCAAGGCGAGAGGATTGCCTGAACTCATGGGTTTGTGACCAGCCTGGGCAACTTGGTGAGACCTCGTCTCTACAATTAAAAAAAAAAACCAGCCTAGGCAACTTGTGAGACCTAATCTCTAAAATAAATTTTAAATAAATTAGCCAGGCGAGGTGGCACATGCCTGTAGTTCTAGCTACTTGGAAAGCTGAGGTGGAAGGATCATCTGAGCCCAGCAGGCCGAGGCTGCAGTGGCCGGGAGCGTGCCATTGCCCTCCAGCCTGGGTGACAGAGTGAGACTCCAACTCAAAAGATTAGCAGGGCATAGTGGTGCATGCTTGTAGTTCCAGCTACTTGGAAGGCCAAGGCAGAAGGATCACCTAAACCTGGAAGTTCGATGCTGCGGTGGCCATGAGCGTGCCACTGCACTCCAGCCTGGGCAACAGAGTAAGACTCCAACTAAAAAAAATTTCCAGGACATTTTCATGGGTTGTTGGAAACTCCTGGGAATGTGGGAACAAAATCAGACTTTCCTTGGGAAGGGCTGGCCTGACAGTCGCTGGTCAGTGTGGCTGGTTGGACGTTTTGTCTACCAACTTGACATCTTCTGGCAGAGCACGGGGAGTCTTGGGGCTCGGTCTGGCTATACTGAGACAAGTTGTAGGTGAACAGCTTGGCCAGGAGTCTGGTCTGACCTCAGAACACAAAGGCTGGTCCTGGCAGCTCCTCAGGGCCCTGGGGACCCTGCCGGCTGCTTAAAGCTATCTACCACCTCACCTAGTGCCTGTCCCCTCAGAATCACCCTCCGTAGCCTGGGGACCCCTGCCCTGTGGCCTTAGGTCACCCCCACTTGCTTCTCTCATGAATTCCTGCCACGCCCCTCGCCCTGTCCCAGCTGGTGTGCCGTGCACCTGGGCTGCCTCTGGAGAAATAGTTCCTGACTCATTGGCCCCTCTGGAGCCCGGTTCTCACACCTCAGTCACATCAGCTTTGCTGGGGGCTTGTTCCAACACGACCGCCGGGCCCCACCCCGGATATTTCTGATTCAACAGTTCTGCTGCGGCACAAGAATTTGTATTTCTCATCCCTTTCCAGGTCATGCGGATGCTCTGGGCTGGGGACCCCGCTTTGAGAACTGTTGTTCTAGTCCAAAGGTGTCAAGCAGGTGAGACTTCAGGGCTAGAGCAGTAGTTCTCAAAGTGTGGCCTCGGGCCGTCCCGGGAACTTATTAGTTGTGCAGATTCCCAGAGCCGTCCCAGCCCTGCTGAGTCAGGAGCTCAGAGGGCGGGCTCACCTCTGCACTTGAGCAAGTCGCCCAGGTGATTCTGTCTGTGCTCAGGTGTGAGGACACAGGCCTCTCTAGAAGAGACTTGCCATATAGTCCCTCCAGCTCTTGGGAGAAGTGAGGGGGCACTGTCTTCACTTGAGAGGTGGCTCAGTGAGTTAGCTGGGGGTGGGGCTAGAGTCCAGGTCTTTAGGCCCAGGGGCTTCCCGAACTTTCCATCTGCTTTCTGTGGGTGTCTCGGGTAGCCTGAGTTCCTAAAGCCTGGCCACACCTGTGTCTCTGTGCCAAGAGGTAGGCAGAGTGCCCCGTGCCCTTCTCCCGGGGGCACAATCAGCAGTGTCTGCCGCATTCTATGGAGAGGATTTTCATGGCCATGGTTCCAGCCCCCGCTAAGGCTTTCCTTCGGACCCCCAGGTACCTCCTGCAAGGGTGCTGGGCAACCCCTTGTTGGGCAGCCTGGAGGTGGCAGTTGTGGGGACTGAGGCAGGGGCCGCATGACCCCCCAACTCCTCCCTCCCTCCCTGTCGTTCTGTGCTCCCTGACTAGCCCTTAGGCTCAAAGGCAGCTCCTGTCCCCGGCCTCTCTGTCAACCTCAGCTCCCGGGAGCAGCAGTGAAGCCATGCTGATAATGGAAATGATTATGAGCCGGTGTGTTTGTAGTGGGTGGGTGTGTGGTCTTATGAAACTTTCAAACATACACAGAAGTTGGCCACGTATGTTTCATCTCTTTTTTTTTCTTTTTGTGCAGTATGTTCTGGAAACCCCAGTAATCATGGCATTTCAGCCCCACGTTCATCAGGTTGTATCTCTAAAGACAGCCATTTTCTTTTCTTTTTTTTTTTTTTGAGTTGGAGTCTTACTCTGTTGCCCAGGCTGGAGTGCAGTGGCACGCTCGTGGCCACCACAGCCTCCACTTGCTGGACTCAGGGGATCCTTCTGCCTCTGCCTTCCAAGTAGCTGGAACTACAGGTGTGTGCCACCATGCCTGGCTAATTTTTTGGTTTATTGTAGCGACAAGGTCTCACCAAGTTGCCTAGGCTAGTCTCGAATCCCTGGGCTCCAGTCTTGAACTCCTGGGATGACAGGTATGAGCCACCACGTCTGACTGACAACCATTTTCTTACATCACCACAATGCCAAACAAAATTAACAAGAATGCCAAATGATTATCTAATACTCTGTCCCTAATTTTCCCTGATGTCATAAAAATGCCATTTAACTGTTGGATTGTATATATTTATGTAATAGATCTAATTTTTCTTTCTTTTTTTTTTTTTTTTTAATAATTTTTTTCCTTAGACAGAGTCTCACTATGTTGCCCAGGCTGGAGTGCAGTGACTATTTACAGGTGGGATCATAGCTCACTGCAGCCTTGAACTCCTGGACTCAGTTGCTCCTCCAGCCTCAGCCTCCCTAGTAGTTGGGACTACAGGCATGTGCCACCATGCCCAGCTAGTCTTTCTTTTGAGCTATATAATTCAGTAGAATTTTTAGCCTCTCCTCATCTACAAAATGAGCAGCATTACATGAGGTGATTAATCCTTTAAATCAGGATCTAGGTAAGGTCTATACCAATGCTGCCCAATAAAAATAGAGTCTGAGGTCGAGTGCAGTGGCTCACACCTGTCCTCTCAACATTCTGGGAGGCCAGGATGGAAGGATCACTGGAGACCAGGAATTCAAGACCAGCCCGGGCAACATAGTAAGACCCTATCGATACAGAAAATTTTTAAATTAGCCAGGCTTGGTGGTGCACACCTGTAGCACCAGCTGCTCAGGAGGCTGAGGAGGTAGAAGCCTCCTCTGTCCACCTGTGGAGACTGACTAGCCCTCTGTGCACTTGCGCTTGCAGGATGCTGTCTCCCGCCTCCTGTCCTGGATGGTGAGGACTCCCTAGCCGACCTGGACCTCCCGCCTCCACCGCCCCCTCCGGCTTACCTGCCCTCTCCCGAGGAGGAGCCTTCTGCCCTGGTGGGGGCGTCACTCACTGTGGACCTAGAGCACCTGCCCCCGCCTCCACCCCCTACACAGGTACTGCCAACCCCTTGATCCCCTGAGTCGAGGGACGGGACGCCTGGGCCTTCTGGGGCTTTCAGAGGTTGTACCCCTGGGGCTCGTTTGGTACGTTCTCCTGCTTGAGGGCAGTGGCTCTTTGAAGCTCTGTGCAGTCCTTATTTAGGCCAGTAAAAAGATGTTTCAAGGTCCCTTGAGAGGGGAACCACACCCTTTTCCCCTCAGGCACCCCCTTGGCCCTGAGGAACACGTTTCCCTGTGTCTGACTTGAGTCCCTCATACTAGAGGGGGAGCCCACATTTAACCCTGGGCTCTTCATGGAGGCCATTGGAGAAATGGGAAGGGCCCGGGCCCAGGCTAAGTCTGCCCAGTCCAGCCTCCGAGGGAGCTCCTGATTCTGGGACATTCCTTTGAAGCAAGAGCAGCTTTGAACAGTTGAGGGACCCCAGGGCAAGGATCTGGGAGGCCCAGGCTCCAGCTGCCACAGTGACCTTCTGCTAAGCAACCCAGGCAGGGCCCTCACTTCTCTGGGCCTGGATTTCTTCCTCGGAACAACGAGGCTGCCCATGCCTGGTGCCACCCAGATGAGGAACAGAGCTGGGAGGGCCTCGTGGGATCCCCACCGGGTTACTCCTTCCTACATTGTGTCCCCACAGGCCCCAGCAGACAGGCCTCCGGTCCAGCCTCAGCTCAGGCCCCTCAGGCCCTTGGAAGAGGAGCTGCCACCTCCCCCGGCAGAGCCTCTTGGCTTCCCTGAGAAGGAAGCAGTCACAGGTATGTGCGCAGGGCTGGAGGGATCCTGGGTGGCCCTCAGGGGCCTGTGAGGGCCAGCATGGGCTTCCAGAAGGAAGCTAGGAGATCAGAGCCTCCCTGCCCACCACAGTATGTATGACCATGATGGGCTTTAGAGTCGGGCACCAATTTAATTTTTATTGCCTTAACTTGTTTCTTTTTTCCTTTTTTTTTTTTTGATTTGGAGTCTCACTCTGTCATTCAGACTGGAGTGCAGTGGCCGCTCCCGGCCACCGCAGCCTCGACCTGCTGGGCTCCGAGATTCTTCTACCTCAGCCTTCCAAGTAGCTGGAACTACAGGCGCGCGCTACCACGCCCAGCTATTTTTGATTTATTGTAGAGATGAGGTCTCGTCAAGTTGCCCAGGTGGGTCTTGAACCTGCAGGCTCAGGCAATCCACCCACCTCGGCCTCCCAAAGTGCTGGGATTACAGGCT